TTTTACATCATAAAAAGAATATTGTAACACAAATCGTCACCAATAATTCAGTCAGTTTTCGTCATTGATTAAATAAGAAATAGATGAAGGTATTAAAATAGAAAAATGCTAGAAAAAACTGACTGACAATATTAAACAAACATAAGTTACTCCAGCTACTGAAATTTATTCAAGGATTTCAAGTTTAATCAGAAACATCTTAAGCGATCATCAATATGCTTTCCCCAAGGAAAGATCAACAGAAGAGTGTTTTACCTCCCGATATTTTCAGAGCGTTTAACCGTGCCTGACACAAGAGTTTACTAATTAAATTTCGATGTTATGTCAGTTCGTCTTTGTTCGTGGCTTTCCAAGCCTTTTCTTTCAAGTGACCATCGATGGTTCTCTTTCGGATACCTTCGCTATCAAAGGTGGTGTTCCACAGGGATTCATATTGTCTTCAATCTTTTTTCGATTATACATCAACGATCTACTGGAAAATGCTAAAAATCTGATATTTTGCTTTGCTCAGCACATTGCTGCCCAAGAACAAAAGTTGTGGATGAAAACTCCAGCACAATTTTTCTCTAAAAGAGTGATTGTGTTGAAACTGGACATTATATCAGGCAAACATTTCTAGCTTTTTCGATTAATTTGTAAGTTAAATTAAACCTGCTTTTACTCGGAAAGGCAGTAGACTGATACAAAAAACAGTATAAAATACATTTATATATACTTACTACAAACATGGTAGTTTTCACTATTTACAGTCATTTAATAAATTACATAGAGTAAATTGAGTCAAAAGGGGAAATTTACTGCAAAAACAGTAGATACGGCAGCACTGAACACGGCGTTCTATTCGTGCGATTTCCCCTTCTTCTGCAGTGGATTGATTCGCAATATTCCGCAGTCTGATTTCATTATGGCTTCGTTGTGAAAGATTCCATCTTCTCGCTCGCTACATTGTAGATAATACTGTATTGGATGTTGTCGACTTCAACTTTATTGTGACAACAATTATTCATGAGTGCACATTCAGAAATGTTAATTTGTTGAATATTCGATTTATTTTCTTAATTTTTCAAATGTTTCAATGATTATTATCATACTAAAAAATGAATATATCCAAATGAAATCTGGAAATATTTATCTTTTCCAACTACATACACCGTTGTTCTGGTGAATGCCTACGGGTAAACAACTATTTTCCCGGCTAATACCACGCTGGATAATGAATTATATCCGACAGACATGTATGCAAGATACCTCAGAGGGATAAGTCTCGCAAATGTTTTGGTCCATCCAGCAGCGGACCATTATCATGATAATCGATCCAGCCGTTCTTGGTGTGATTGGATATACAGGGTGAAACTGAATAAGTGTAAAACATTTAAGGAGGTGATTCCTCATCGAAAAAAAGATAGGATCTTCTTTCATATAAAGAAACTTGCATCTCTTGTTAAGATACATCCCCTTAAAGGGGGTTCATAAAATTTGTATAACAATTTTTTTCACAAGCACTGAAAAAGTTACAATATTGAAATCAACCTGACGTTTTGTACTACCAAAAAGATACTTAGCCAGTAATTTATTTGGTTTACCCCATGGTTGTAAGGGGTGGAAAACGCAACCCCTAAAATTTATTTCCGATAGCCTGTTTCATTCTAAACAAAAAATGTCTCTTGGGTTTTTTGCCCAAAATAAATCAGTTCGCAGCAAAAAATTATTTTACGAATAACTACAGAGATACATCGTCATAAATGTAAAATGGATTTATTGTTATTTTGTAGTTAGAACCTGCATTAAACCATTAAAGGGTAATAAATAAAACTAATTTATTAATAACAAATCACACAACATGTAGAAATTATAGTAAATGTTCAATATGTCTACCTTCAGACATTAAGCATGTGTCTAGACGTCGGCGCATTGAGCCACGTATTCGCTCAAATATTCCTGGAGTATCTCTAATTACCCTGCACGCATCGATGATGCGGTTTCTTAAGTCCTCTACATCGCGAACAGGAGTACGATAAACAAAATGCTGTAAATAGCCACAAATAGAGAAATGGAGAAGATTGAGATCCAGGGATCGAGCGGGCCAGTTCTGTGGTGCTCCTCGACCTATCCACTGATTTGCATATGTTTCAGTTAAATGCTGACGTGCTACTTGACTAAAATGGGCGGGAGCCCCATCATTCATAAAAAACATATCCCTTCTGACGCCCAAAGGAACTTCCTCCAGCAGTACTGGATGCACTTCTCTTAAAAATTGAACGTATGCCTCACCATTCAATCAAAAAGGTAGAAAATGAAGCCAAATTAAATCATCCCCAATAACTCCGAGCCACACGTTAATAGAAAACTGTTCTTGATGGTTAGTTTCGACAATAGCGTAAGGGTTTTCATCAGCCCATATGTGGTAATTATGAAAATTAATAATCTTGTCCCGAGAAAAACTACATTCGTCTGTGAATTCTATCGTCTTCAGAAAGTCACAATTTCTTTTAATCATTTCCAGCATCCAATTGCAAAATTCAAGACGGTTCGGAAAGTCTCGCGGTACCAGTGCCTGTATTCGTTGCAGATGGAAAGGGTATAAGAGTTTTTCCTTCAAAATTCGAAATACCGATCAACATTTAGCTGGAAAGCAATCTTTCTAGTACTGGTAATAGGTTGTTCTTCAAACAAATTAAGTATTGCTTCCTCAAGTTGTGGTGTTTGTACTTCTCGATCTTTTGTCGAATGAACCATATTCTAGTAATCGTTGATGAATCAGCCATTTCCTCATTTGTGTATGCCATTTTAATACCAAGTGAATTATTAAAGTAACAAATTAAGAACAGAACAACAACACACAATTAGTATCAATTCATTTTCGAAAATTCATAAACTGACAGCGTCATACCAATTTAATTGTCACTATCGCTAATAGCGACCTACTAGATAGATTAGTTTCGTATTTTCGCATTTATGACGATGTATCTCTGTAGTTGTTCGTAAAATAATTTTTTGCTGCGAACTGGTTTATTTTGGGCAAAAAATCCAAGAGACATTTTTTGTTTAGAATGAAACAGGCTATCGGAAATAAATTTTAGGGGTTGCGTTTTCCACCCCTTACAACCATGGGGTAAACCAAATAAATTTCTGGCTAAGTGTCTTTTTGGTAGTACAAAACGTCAGGTTAATTTTAAAATTGTAACTTGTTTAGTGCTTGTGAAAAAAAATTGTTATACAAATTTTATGTACCCCCTTTAAGGGGCTGTATCTTAACAAGGGATGCTCCAATGAAATTTCTTTAAAGAAAGATCCTATCTTTTTTTCTATGGGGAATCACCTCCTTAAATGTTTTACACTTATTTAGTTACACCCTGTATATTGAAAATTTTTACATTTTTCATTTCAAGTTTTTTGTAAAATCCAATCGATGAATAAGAAATGGTTTCTTTATGATGTGGAATATCGGAGAAATTTCAATTATTTATGATGTTTCGTCGTTATCGGCATCTGAGGATAAGTTTGTGAGCTTCATTTTTTATTGACAGACATATATCATACGTAAATACTTACAATAACAAGGTTGTTGCCAACGAATGATAATTTGTTGGTAGTTTAGGTCCATCATACTTTATTTAGAAGATTTGGGAGAAACCGAATTGTTGGAGTAACAATTCAGTTGTGTTTCCAAAAGAAACACATTATTTCACTTGTTTAATCAAGTGCCAAATCGAAATGGCAAGAAACCTTCAGTTCGTATTTTTTTTAAAGGACAAAACACAATCACTACAGCAAAATTCTTGAGACGCTCTAAGAGCGGTGCCTGTACGAAAGTAGCGATGCACATTGGATTTGAATCGCTGTAGACCAAATCCATTTGGAAAGACGTTCTCAGGAAGTTTATTTCATATAAACGCAGTTTAATTGTAAATTTTGACATTATTTTAGATTTTCCACTTTAAAATTAAATGAATTGCAGGAAAAATAAACTGTTTTTACTAGCGGTCTTCCGTAGAGTTGCTTACTTCTGTCAGCAGTCAACTAGTCCTATTTCGATCTCCCAAACATCTTATATATATTATAAACTTTTACACGGAATATACACAAATAAGTTTTCGAATTATTCTTTCATATTATATTTATATTAAGGATATTAAACACAAAAAAAGTATAGTCCATTCACTCCAAAAGTATTAATTTTTATGAGAACAATTTGTTATATGAAGGGTTTTTATATCTGGAATATTTTAAAGTTGATAAAGCAGCTGTCATATTTAATATTCGTTAAAGTATCTCCCAGAAAGCAAAATTTTGCTTTCCGGTTTCCTTTCACGCTGCTTAATCACTTTACCGAATTCAGTCAAAAACCAGCTGTATGCCTCTTTATTGAGCAGGGGTTTTTGGCAATTCAATAACATTTTCGACTTTGGATCGTTGAGTACCAAATTATTATTTGTATCTGTTCTGTAATTATTGAACAACCAGATAGAATCATTATTATATCTCAAAAGTAAATAATGTAATTTTCCATGCTTCGGCAATATTGGGAAAAAAAATAACATTCAGACAATATATACAAAATATATGCATCATGTTATTGTAGTCATTAACAGTTTTTGTTCGATTATTGAAAAAGGAATAATTTTTAGGATATATTAGTGTTTGGAAAAAAACTTGTTTACATTCTATTTCTCTATCAACATATAAATAGTGGGGAAGTTCCAAATAAAAAGAAGAAAAAAAGTAATAAACAAACTCTTTCTAGAGATCATGCACAAAAATTCTTTCAGATACAGACTGAAAAAAAAATCGATTTGAAATTACTACTTTCACAATTATGAGCATTGAATTCTTATTAATTTTGTTCTCCAAAGTTTGGAGTCCAAACATACGAGTTCAGTATGTGTATTCGAGAATATCAAAACTTTTTCTTTCTCGAATAGTTCATGAAACATTCTAGAACTAATGAAATGCGCAACTTCTTCGATATCTGAACGTCCTAAATATTTTTTCAATTTCAGGAACTGTCATTTCCGTCGATGCACCATCAAATGGGCAGCACGTCATTCAGCTTCTCCATGTCGAGTACAGCGGACATGGAGGGGCCAGGGGGTAGCTTCGAATGCATCAAACAGGTAGGACCTCCGCGTGGCCCTTTGGAAGCTTTAGGTTCGATTCCCCACAAAATACGTATCCATGCCAACGACGACGTTTACGAAGTTACCCGCACCCGCATGACTGAAGCAGAAGATAAATACAAAAACAAATGGTAAGCGTCATCCTTGTTCGATCTATTTTTTTTCTAATCTCTCTGCGTGCTGAATATTGCATACACATACATATGTAGGTGTATTTCATTAGAACTATGCTGAGCTAACACATTTAAGTTATGCCACATCCAAACAGAGGTAGAGGACGAATCTAGTTTGGCGGTCGATGTTGAAGTTAGGCTTTGCAAAGGACCGCCTTGAAAGCCTAGTTCATCTTTGATACTCGCGGTATGAGTGTTCCGTCGATCCCACAAATGGTGTCTGAAATAAACGACCGCTTGTTTGGGAATAACTTCTAATAGGAAGGAAATACTAGTTATTTGGAGAACGTTGATAGTGTTACAGTACCAGAATAAAATGATACAACTACCATTTTCACACCAGCAGACGAGCGCCATTCTGGTTACTTTCTGAAACCTTATGCTTTTTGGTGAATATTTTTCGAGTCGAACAGTCATACGAGAGTGTCCTCAATTATCCTCCATTAGAGGGCAGAGGGAAAACTCCATAAACATTTCAATGGCTGGGACAAGGACCATAAGTTAGTCATCAATCTCAGTCTACAACTTGAAGTATGCAATGTTTGTTTGAAATAGGTTGACAATGTTTCTTGTAGGAAGTTAAAGACTCCGGACTCCCGTTCCTCACTTTTTTAACAGATTATTCGTTTTGGAATTGAGTTACGTCACGACAGCAACTTTTCGATTCAATCTATCTATTGATTAGAATCTACAATCGCCTTAGTGTGACGACACCACATCTATCACCCGAAGACTTCTGTATCTGTAGAGTAGGGGGGGGGGGGTGAGTGTAAGCCCTCAGCACTTACGTCACATGTGACCCATTGTACATCCTCCCGAGGATTTGTCCTCCTAGGTTATCGTCCATCGTGTCCTTCCCAGGAAGGTGGACAGGTCGCTGGGAGACATCTCCTTTATATCGGCAGGTGTAGGCCAAGACTCGCCGAACACACACTCTCTTATTGACGATAACTCCGGGCACTCGCATAAGACATACCTGACAATCTCATCTTCCTGTTCACACATCCTGCATAGAGGTGTGCACTAGCCCCATATTATGGAGGTTTAGTTGACAGAAATCCTACTGTTTAGGATAGATTTTTCCTGGTCATCGCCAAATATTTCGCCCAGGGTGATCCTGGCAAGATGCATCCTTTGATTCCATCTCATCTCTTTAGGGATTGAGCATAGGTGTAACATTTGACTAATTCTGAAGACTTGAATGGTTTTTCAGTTTCCAGGTTATACTTTACTGATACGAGTGATGCGTCAGTAATTTCATGTTTCAGTAAAGTGCTCAGTTTCTCATTAGTGGCCTAGTATGTTATCATTATATTCGTAGTTTTTAAGTTTCTCAACATTTCGCTAGCATAAGCACTGTCTTCAAGTACCTACAACACAATTCTAATAAAGAGCACAATTATTCGATAATGCGTTATGATACACATGGTTTGTTTCAAATTGAAGGATTTTCTAGCTTTTATTTTTATATTACCTGTTTCATTTAGGCCCATAATGAATAGAATAAATACATGATTATTTTGACTCATTCCAAAGCGAAGTCGTGTTAGTTCGTAACAAGTTAAAGTTATGCATCTCTTCTCAAACAATCTGCATCAGAATTGTTGTAAAAATTATAAATTTTCGTTTTTGTTAAGTTTATACTCAAATTGATAAGATCGAGATTCTGAAACACTTTTTTTTTCATTGTTATCAATGCATGTATGTATAAATATAGAATGGTAGCGGCCAAAGAATATAACCTGGTGGTTCACCAGTCCTGAGATTACACTCTGAATACAGATTGTTTTGCAGGAGTTAAGATTGATGAAATCGAAAGCCTTTGATTTGTCCATTATCTGTCTTTCAATGATTGAGAGAAAGAAGTTACTCGAAACTTCAGAGTACTGCATTAACAGCTTCGTAAGAGTTTAACTGAACTAAATTAAGAATAAAATGATAAATTAATCATTGAAAAATCAACAGAAAGTCGGAACTATTGGGTCTTTTTTATAACACAGCGATATCCTGAGTTCTTTTCAATTTATTCATAACTATAGCTTTTACCCGCGGCTTCGCTGGCATTTACGACATTGAATAAGTGTCAGTACAATAGAAATGAATCAACATAACTATATTTTAATGCTTGGCTGGGATTATCAATTTTTTTAAATTATTACATACAATGAAGTTTCGAAAATTTAAAATATGTTTTATTGAATTGCAACAACAAATGTTACAATAATTAAGTGACATCTAACCACAAAAATGACACCTAACCTAAAAATAAAAATGACAGAAGAAAATAACAATGAATATAGAAAAATTCCAAACAGTTGAAACTATAGTCAATTGGATTGGATTGGATATTGTCGTGACTATAAATAGTACAGTGCGATGGTATTATACGGTTCTAAGGGATGTTCTATTGGAATGCTAAATGACAAAGTAGCTAGATTTCAAGATTTTTTGACAAACAATTTTTTTATCTAACATTAATTTTTATTTTATATGAAAAGTATCCTATGTTACTTCTTATACCTCCAAGAACATGTGTACAAAATTTTATAGTGATCAGTTTAATAGTTTTCGCGTGAAACCGTAGCAAACAAAGTTACATGCGCATTTATAATATTCGTAGGGATGGATTACTATTATTTGTCATACTTCCATACCGTAATTCCGAAATAGTAGGCACTGAATTCTCAGGAATGACTGACGTTTTCGCCTTAATCTGTCTTTTGCGGTGGCGTACGGAAATTGTACTATAAAGTAAAATGTGATATTTGTGAGAATTTAGTGCGTACTATTATTGTAATTAGATGGATATTCATCACTAATAAACATTCTCTACACCTCAGTGTTGGGAAAATATTCTGAAGAAACTACATCCATGACGGAGCCATGTTGCGACTCTCTACGTCATAATTAGATCCGTATTGATTGAAATATGGAGCCTCATTTAACAATGGAATAATATTTTGCAATTAGGATGCAATTTAATTTCGTTTGCAATTCGATAAAGTAATAAATACAATTGGGTGCGGTTAAAATGATTCGAGTATGCTATTGCACAGGGCCGTCCGCAAAGTTTAGAGGTCCAATTGATCGCTGGTTTTTGCATGGGAAATGATATTCAAACGTCTTCAACATTAATGTAGAAAAAAATGTTTTGTAAGAAGTTAATAAGACAGTTTCAATAAATTATTCCGTAGAAAAATCTTGCAACATTTATTAAGTCTTTGTTATGGATCTCGTTTCTCAGATATTTGTCTTATACTCCACCTTGTAGTAATATCGAAGAGAAGTATGTCTGATGTCAAATAGGAAAGAAAACAAAAAATAAATCCATCGAGAGTTGAAAACATGTAACTATATTTTCCAGTAGATTGCACAAAGAGTTAGCGCCGGTCCTGTCCATACCATACTGAATAATCAGACTGTGATACTTCTTCGTTCAACAGTGCTACTTACCTAGTTTTTATTCGACGATAACTTCTATTTCAGGACGATTCATTAGTTTTAACATCCTTCAAGTCTAGCCGGAATATAATCGAGTCTTTATAAAAAAATGTCAAATATTTCAAACGGTTCTTCTTGGCACCTTGTAGGTATTTTATTAGAAAAAACGATGAACAGGTTTTACATATGAATAACGATGTACGAAGCAGGGAGTTGAAAACACATGAAATTTGTTAAGAATCACTTTAGTTCAAACATGAAATTACTTTACGAACAAAATGTAGATTAGTTGGTCAATATTAAAATTTTAGACGAATGTTTTGATCGCAGGATGTATTTCCTCCTTCGACCTAACATACATTTTCAAAATTATCATTTCACGTTCGGTAAACTAAAAAAATGTTAAGCATATAGAAAACATCGAGAGTTGAAAGTAAAATTGGAAAATAGAATATACAGTGCCTTCATTTCAAAACTGCCCACCCCTAGTACTTTGTTTAGCAGGGAGAATTTGCCGTAGGCAAAAAACACGTCAATTCAGATATCGAAGGGGAAGTTTAAAACCAGTGCCAGTGGTATTTTAAGTTTAACCCCCTTACCCCTCTACCCCCACTTAATAAGTATAAATGGCACCCCCTATCTTGTAACACATCATTTTAAAGACCTTAAAAATCCTCACTCAACCCCGTTTAGAAAACTGAAATTGGTTGATCCGTTCTCGTAAAATAGGGCAAAAAGAAAATGAATTATAACAAAATGCAAAAATGTATGGAACCGCTACCACTGACTCAATAATGGTATGTTCGTGTCTCTTTTTTACACAGAGTTTTATGTTTTAGATGAAAGTGAGATAAGGGCACACAGGTGCTTCTTGGCGTCAGTTACAATTAAATGGTGAAAACATTTATCAGAATTAGTTACTCCTGATTTTAAACTGTTTGTCAAGTGGTGTCAGTTGCACTGACAGTAATAATACAAATCGTAATGGTGTACACTTAACAAGAAAGAACTGAAATTATTTTTATTTATGGTGCTGAAGATAGGTGTGCTCGTAGTACAGCCCGGGTTTTTAATGAAAGGCATGCAGGCCATAATGTGAGTCACCGATATGTTCTAGACCTTGTTCAAAAATTTGAAGAGACCGGTTCTGTATGCAACAAAGCAGTAAAGCAGCTGAAAGTTTTTACGAAAGCCGCACAGATTGAGATTTTAGGCCAATTCGCCGTCGAGCCTACTACTTCAATTTCGAAAGTCGCTAAGTTAGTGAATATTTCAGTTGGTTCTATACACATAGTTTTAAAACTAAACAAGTTCTTTCCTTACAAAATGAGTATTCTTCAGCAACTCAGTTAGGATGACTATGATAGGAGAATTGAATTTTGTGAAATAATGACTGCGAGAATTCAAAATGACCCCAATTTAATAAAAAATATTTGCTTCAGTGATGAACTAACTATTTTTCTTAATGGCTTTGTAAATAAGCATAACTGTAGATACTGGGATAATGAAAATCTACA